GCACCTGCCCTCATGTGAACATACCTTGCCTCCCCCTACACACATACTTAAAAATAGTAAAAATAAACATTAAAAATAATCTTATCAGTCTTATGGTCCATGATATTTGATTCTATTCATAATAAATAGTCTAAGTGTCATATGGGTCCTCTGGAGATGGTTTGCGTTTGTCCTCTAGGACAGTGGGGTTAAAAAAAAAGGCCCTTCCACAGGAGTCCCCTTAAGACCATCAGAAAACATAGATATTTACACTGCATAGCACAATGACAGTCATAAAATATCAATGAGATAATTTTATTATTGGTGGTCAGCGCAACCGAAGAACTGGATTTAATGGGTTATAGCATTGGGAAGGTTGAGAACTGCTGCTCCGGGCAGTGGGGATACCATCTGTCTTAATTCAGCCTACTGTTACAGGTATCTCCCTGCATCCTAAGTGACTTGGTAAAAGAGGTTTGCCCGATTTGCCACACGGGGTGATGGTTCATTTTCTATCCTTCCCTCCTCACCCATTTGGAGACTCACACTGGGCTGTGATCTCTTTGAAGGCCAAACGGGAGGAAATGCAGAACTGTGAATGCTTAGCCCAGCACCACAATGGCTATTCAGGCACTGAGGAAATGTGGCTCCTCCCCAGGCCAGCACGAGGGTGGGGTGGGAGAGGAAGCAGGCTGTGAACCTCTAGGCAAGATTTATAGATAGCGATATCAGAACCAGCCAGTAACCTTGTTTTTATGCAGGGTCAGCACTTTATCCCTTCCAGAGTATTTTTACAGAATTTGCTAGCTCATCTGGGTTCCTCAACCCTGAAGTCAGCCAGGGTTAGGAATGATAAAACAAAGACTGAGAGAAGCTAACGCTATTGGACATTCATCCATATACGGCCACGGTGATTTCTTTAATCAGATTTTCATTATCATAGACTCCTGAGGCAGATGAATACCCATAATAATCTCCATTTCGAAGAAGGAATCCCGACTTGAGTACAAACAATGGGGACTTCAACTAAGTTTCCTTGACACTGAAGACCTAGTTCTTTATTTTGGCGTCGTGACCTCTTAATTCCCTTAATGCTCAGAGTTGGACATTGAGGAAGAGGAGGGGGCAGGGATTAGCCACAGAGCTCTGAGATCAAGTCCTGGTCCAAGCATACAACCTTCCACAGTCAAGCACATCACACGGGGAAGGGAAGGTACGAGAAAAATGGGGAAGGTAAAGAGAAGGAACGCTGTATCCTCGAAGTGAGTGGAGGATTGTTTTGTATGATTAGTGACAGCTGCACTTCAAATATGTCCTCCTTGGCTTTTGCCTTGATGGACAGGTGCGATATGTCAGAGAGTGTGGTGACTGTGTGTGTATGTGTGTTTGTGTGTATGTGTGTGCATGTGTGTGTATGTATGTGTGTGTGTTGTGTGTATGTGTATGTATGTGTGTGGATGTGTGTGTATGTGTGTGTGGTGTGTGTATGTGTGTGTTTGTATGTGTATGTGTGTGTATGTGTGTGTATGTGTGTGTGTATGTGTGTATGTGTGTGTGTTGTGTGTATGTGTGTGTTTGTGTGTGTGTTTCTATGTGTATGTGTGTGTTTATATCTGTGTGTGTGTGTATGTGTGTGTGTTGTGTGTATGTGTGTGTGTACACTCTTGTTATTTTTCTCCACAGTCACTTTGAGCAAGTCCTTGGATTTTAGCCTCTGTATATCTCAGCTACACATTTGCAAAACAGAGCTGGAGATGACGTCTGCGGTGTTGATGACCATTCAATTCGGTATCTTGTTTAGTGGACATGGATGGATCCAGCCCAACAACATGTATACTCCTTTGCAATGTGATTTTACTGATGTTTTCATCAGGAAGCAGGGTCTATTGCTCCATTCCTTGACTCTGGGCTGGTTCCTAGCTTGTTTTAAGCCCCGAATGTGGCAAAGGTAGCACTGTGTGACTCCAGAGCCCATACCTCTAGAATCCCCCAGCCTTTACCTTTGGCCTTTTATGAAGCTGGACTAACTTCCCATCATGAAAGGGAAGCTGGTATTGTTTACTGGAGGATGTGGGGTCATGAGGTGAGCCTAGATGGCCGGCTTAGAGCCAACGCTGAATGCTCGTCATGCAAATGAGCTGAGTGTAGAACCTCCAGCCCTGCTAACTGCTGCTATGCTCAATACAGTTGCGACACTGAGACCAGCATGGATCAGTAGAGGAACCACCTGCCCGATCAAATCCACTGCAGTCCACTCCGGACCAGTCCAGTCCAGACCAGTCCAGTCTAGACCAGTCCAGACCAGTCCACTCCAGACCAGTCTAGTCCAGACCAGTCCATCCCAGTCCAGTCTATTCCAGACTAATCCACTCCAGACCAGTCCACTCTAGTCCAGTCCACTCCACTCCAGTTCACACGAGCCCATTTCATTTCATGTCATTACTCTCACCCACTTTCTGTTTTGTTCTGCTCCAACCCACCACAAACCTCACCTTCCTTTCCCCCACAGCTTTAAGCATTTTGTTCAGGTGTTTTTGTCAAATACATACATTCACAAAAACACATCTTCACTCCAAAACAACACCCCCACCAACCTATAGCCCAACTAAAAATCTCAATCCAAAATTTTCACAAACTAGATGCTATGTAATATATATATAAAAAAAAATCTAAGAGAGGTTTAAATAGAATTTCAAACCACTGAGCTCAACTGTTTGACTCTCATACTCTTCCCGTGCTCTTTGCCAAAGTTACTCTCAAAGGGCATGGGCTTTGAATTGTAAGTTGCTATTTTACTTTTCAGAGTATCAAAGTCCAGTTGTTTAAGGTGAGTGCATGTAAAGTAAGTCCTTTAAGTCAAGCTTGGTTAGAAGGCTGGCCACATTAGAATGCAGAATTTTGCCTGAACTTCATGAGAGGCAGAAGGTGAGCTACTAGTCACGTTGGATGCTTTGTCTAAGAGCTCGTACAAACACTGGAGTGGGAAATAAGATTCAAAAAACCAAAACAAACCCAACCCAACCCAACCCAACCAACCCAAACCGAACCATCACAACCACCACCACCACCAATCCATCCTGTCTGCCATGATCTGAGGCTATAAATACTGATGGGAACTGATCCTGTGAGCTCTGTCATACAGTTAGACCTGCCCTAGCGTGGTGCATCTGCAACAAAGCTCTGCTGCTGGTTGTTCTGAACACACTTTTGTAGAGCCAGGCCAACTCTTGAACCTATTTCTATGCTGTATAATGTCAGACCTATGCAAAAATGATAGGCCTTTTTCTCCCCCGTAAGACCACCTTTTAGTACCCAGACAGACAGGCTTCTGTAGTGGTCTATCCAATGTCTCTTGTTTGTTATACTTCTCCACCCTTAAGATCAAATGTGAACGAATGCTCTGCTAAGTTAATGGTACAGCGTGGCCTCTGTTAAGGCACATGCAGCTAAAACAATGGTGTGGTGTGGACATTCATTTTCAAAAGTAAGTGGCAAATGTCTCATTCAGAAGTAGTGGATGAAATGGCAGAGGAGCGGGAGAATTAGGGAGAGCCCTGAACATGGGGTGATCATCGGGAGCCCCTAAAGTCATGGCTATCCCATCTCCTTTCGTCCTTTTCCACTTTCCAAAGCCAGCAGCTGTTCTGGGCCCACAACCTCTGAGCCAATAGGTGGCCAGACGTCAAGGCAGGAGGGAAGGGCTTTTACTATGCTCCTGTTTCCTCTGTCTTCTGCCCTAACGGGGTGGAGAGACGGGAGAGGTACAGCTAACTTTCAAAAGCTAGATTTAGAGTTTGCGTTCTTGGAATAGATATTTATGTTAATGGATAGAGATTGACGGGTATGCTTGAAAGTCAGGTAAAGGCCCCCCCCGCCCCCCAAATAAACAAACAAAATCCCAGGAGCTTTTCAGTGTCCTCACTGTATTCGTCTTGTGGTCAATAATGATAGAGGTGCTCGACAGCTGGGGACCACATGCCATATTAGGTTTAATCCAATGCAAAAGCAATGAGGGGGTCCAACTGGGTGGATGCCATTAGATGATTCTGGGTTTTTATTTCCTTAAATTTGGGTTGTCTCTTAAGAAAGAGCTAAACTGCCAGGCGGTGGTGGCGGCGCACGCCTTTAATCCCAGCACTTGTGAGGCAGAGGCAGATGGATTTCTGAGTTTGAGGCCAGCCTGGTCTACAGAGTGAGTTCTAGGACACCCAGGGCTACACAGAGAAACCCTGTCTCGAAAAACCAAAAAAAAAAAAAAAAAAAAAAAAAAAAAAAAAAAAAAAAAAAAGGCTAAACACAGCGAACAGTGAAGTGTAGACTTTTTGTTTGTTTGTTTGTGCTATGGAATGACTCATGCTTCACCCGTGAGTGTACTTTAGGGTTCTACCATCAAGACACACCCATGTTCTTCGTGGCACACTCTATTTTCATCGTATCATTGCTTTTGTGGCTCAAACCTCCATGAAGAAAGCAAAGCCAAAGAAATGGACACCCACAACAGAGAGACTGTTTGGGTAGCACCCGTGAGCTGCGGACACTGCTGCTCATTCGTTTAACATGGACCACCAAGATAGACGATACTTAGGGGATGTTGATGGAGAGATGCCACGCCTTCTGCTTGTCTTTACCGTCCCAATCGATCACAGTGACTCTGGATCTGCTATCAGTCAGTGATTCTTGCCCCATAGAGCATAAATAGTTTAGAAATGCAAATTCTGGTCTCAACTTCTATTTACTTCTTTCAGACAACGTTTAAGGCCATGAACCCCGACTTTGATTCACAAAATGCCAGTCTACAAGAGTACGGGTCTGACACTCCAAGCCCAATTGCCTCCATTTCATCAAGAGGCAGAGATTTCACAGGTTTCCTCATTATGACCAAGACCTTTATGTACAATTTGCAGGCGAGACACAAAGTGACTGATTTTTAAACGTGCAGGAGAACTGTGAACAAAGCAAGCCTTTTCAAGGGAAGGGCTTTCTGCCACCCTTCACAACCGTACTGCCCCCTCTCCTTTTACCTCTGCAGTGGTGCTGGAGAAAGGTGGAGTAGTCGAGGGACTCCAGGATGTGTCTGTAGTTTCAGTCGTATGCAGACTGGGGAGATCGCTCTTGCTGCTGCTCTGACTGTAGGTCTCTGAAATGCTCCCGAGAGTCTTTGCAGTGCTCCCGAGGGTCTCTGCAGTGCTCCTAAGGGTCTCTGCAGTGCTCCGGAGGAATGTCTCTGTGGTATTGCTAATGTGGTCTGGGCTATACGGGACGGTGTTTGAAGTAGTGGGGATGTGAGGAGCAACTGAGTTTCTAGCAATCCGCACCGAGACTTCTGTACCCCGGCCAGCTGAGAAGAGAGGACAGTGGTTAAAAAAAAATCATTCTCATGTTTTACAAATTTTATGTGAATTCTTCACATAAAATGAACTTGTTTTGAAACAGGCTATCAGAAGACTGAGACTGTTTTGTTCTAGAACCTGCTATGTAGCCAGAGGACATTGACCATTCTGCTTCTTCTTCCTACGTGTTGATGTTTATATGTGTGGACCGACACGCTTGGTGTATACAGTGTTATCGCTCAAACCTGGCTAGGCAAGAATTTTTCTGACAGCCGCATTCCCAGTACCACATAAAAACAGTTTTTATGTAGTAAGTAAAGGCCCTTCAACAAGGAGCACATGGATGGATTTAGTGCTATAAAAAAGCTACGATCCCCTGGGCGAATGACAAGATCTATTTGCCCTGTCCCACTTACCCATCCTTTATCCATCCGCCAATTTTATAATGGTGGAGGGAGAGTAATGAACACTTCTGTATGAAAAAGCCAGTACTGTATAGAAGACAGAGTTCAAGTTCATTCTGTGAATATCTAGGTAACTAACTTGCTCTCAGGAGCGAACCATGGGTCTCCAAAGATCTACTCATACTCTGAGCTTAGAGCACTCAGACTACGGCAGTGCTGTGGGTCGTAGCTTTCATCAGCTTTTAAAAAGAATCTCTGTTAGCAACTTGCCTAACGGCATCCTGAAGAACTGTGGCTCCTGTACCGTTAATAGCACTTATTTCTTTAACCATAATGTAAACATTTATAATAGGGACATTTGTGTTTTTAATTTAACTAACGTGTAGAACATAAAATTATATATTCATGGAGTGTTATTGATGTTTATATTCCTGCATACATTGTATGATGATTTAATCAGGTTAGCATTTACCTCCTCCGATATCTTTTCCGATTTTATGGGATAGATATTTAGAATCACTCCTCTAGCTTTCTGAGATATTCAGTACATTCTTTATTACTGCTGGCTGTCAGATAGCACATCAGAAGGTCTTATTCTTGTCTAATGTTAACAGTGTCTGCTGGTGGGAAGTGTTTTAGTTCTGTGAGTTTTCAAGAATGTTGAATTTTCTCTTCTCTCTCGCTCTTTCCCCCCCTACACACTTTTTTTTCTCCTTTTTTGTTTTTATCCCTTCTTTCTCTCTTTTTTGTTTTTATCCTTTCTCTTTTTCTCTTTCTTTTTTACTTTCTTCCTCCCTCCCTCCCTCCCTCCCTCCCTCCCTCCCTCCCTCCCTCCCTCCTTCTTCCTTCCTTCCTTCCTTCCTTCCTTCCTTCCTTTCTTTCTTTCTTTCTTTCTTTCTTTCTTTCTTTCTTTCTTTCTTTCTTTCTTTCTTTCTTTCTTTCTTTCCACAGGGTTTCTCTGTGTAGCCCTGTCTGTCCTAGAACTCCCTTTGTAGACCAGGCTGGCCTCGAACTCAGAGAGCTGCCTGCCTCTGCCTCCCAAGTGCTGGGATTAAAGGCAGGTATTGCCAAGCAAGGATGTTGTATTTACTAAGTTACAAATCTTTTGAAAGAACAGCTACTGGTTTAGGATATACGAACTGGTGGGCTGGATTTTCCATACTGAAAAACAAACATGAAAACATTGGTTCATCTCGCCATCATCAAAAACCATGTTCTTATGTCTGTGACATGCTCTCAGGTGATGCCACTGCTGGGCTTTAAGTCATGGGGTAGCAATATTTTAGGGCAAAGTTAAAACAAAGGATTAGAAAATTCTGGAAAGGATTGGCCAACAGCATATGTTTGGGTGTTTCACTGGCTTTGGAGATGTTGAGTTGCCAGGAATATAAACCCCAGAAAATCCTGTCGAATCAGGTATCTGTAACTTTGAGGCCTGTGGGCTTTAAGACACTGAACAACAGTTTACTTTTTATTATTTCATCACTTGTTCATTAAAATCGAACGACTATTTATTAGGCAACTACCATGTGTCAAGTAGCCCTTCTTAAAGAAGGAATTAACTTCTACTTTCTAGTCAGCCTTATTTGTCCCCCTCTGGAGCTCCACTTCTTACCATCCTAATGTTACCTGACTAGTACATTTCACACGGCAATGCATGTGAGTGAGAAGGGCTAAGGAACAAAAAATGTTCTTGGCAGAAGAGATCCATGTATGACTTAACAATGTATAGATAGATATTCTCACAAAAGTTAATGAAGTAACCATGGTAATTCAATATTCTTTTCTTGAGATGCAAAGGGTTGTGCAGAAGGCTTTGTACACAGGTATATTAATTATATATTATATATTATATATTATATATTATATATTATATATTATATAGTATATATTATATAGTATACAGTATACTGTATACTGTATATAGTATATTGTATATTGTATAGTATATAGTATATATTGTATAGTATATACTGTATAGCATATAGCATATAGTATATAGTATAGTATTAGTATATAGTATATATAGTATATAGCATATATAATGATATTATATACATAATGCCTCTTACAAGTATACTTAAATTTTATATGAAATTCAAATATAAGTGGTTATCCGCGTTTATTGCCTGCAACTTTCCTTAGATGTCTACTAAGTCTACACTTTGATAGCTTTCTGGATGCAGCTTTCAGTTATTTATTTGTTTTCTTTTCATATCATTTAATACTGTGACTGCCTTGTGCCAGGGTTATACACTCTGCACACAGACAAGCTCGAGGTGCTGTCTCAGAACAGAGTCGACCATGGTTCTACCTGAGACTTCTTCACAACTATCTTGAGAGCAGTGTTAACTTCTCAGGCTTGAGTTCTGAGTTTAGAGTCTAAGTGTTTCCTTCAGCAGGCATCTGTCAGTGTAGGGATGGAGAGTCCAGCATTTCTGTCACTTCCTGCTTTGGCCAGCGCTGACTCTCTAAGTTAAGGACTACCCAAAACAATTTTAGTTCTCAGACCTTTTAAAAAGTAAGGATGGGTTACAACTAAAATCAAGCTTCCAAATACCTAGTATGCAATTACATTCTCTCTCTCTCTCTCTTTTTTTTTTTTTCTTTTTTTTTTTTTGGCCAGGCTGTGCTTCCTTTACTAAAAAGAAAAAAAGAAAAAAAATAGTTGGTGAGTTTATCATAAGAACTTGAAAAAAAATTAGTCAACATGCACAATCAGTGGATGAAACCGGACTCTCCCAAAGTTGGATAAAGGATCAAAACTTTCTGAAAACAGGTTCTGCAAATAACACTGAAGATGTTACATTGCATACAGCTTTTGGCTTTTATATGGAGGAAAAAAAAATCTCAGTCTTCTGCAATTGTCTTTAATCATCCTCATGTATTTTTAAAAACTACCAATACAGGCCAAACATCTGTATTATCCATTTAGGCCACCCCCCCCCTTTTTGTCAAGGAAATATTTAAATCTAATATCTCCTTATTTTGTGTCTGTATGTTTAACTGGTATGATTTAAAAGCTAGAGAAACTTTAGCCTGAGCATTCAGCTTCTCTGTCTTGTGACTTTTAAATCAGTAGTTTGTAAGGATAATTGGTGTTTGAGCCACCTTGTAAGCTTGCTTGTTGTAGCCTTCCTCTAGAAACTGTGACTCACTGTATTTAGTGTGGGTCTTAGGGTCTGCATCTGTAACGTAGTCCCTGGGTAATTCTCATCTATAGTTTTAGCCACATCAATGAATCAAAATGGAGTCCTACTCTCGCTCTCTCATGGTCTTTCTCTGTCTCTGTCTGTCTCTGTCTGTCTCTCTCTCTCTCTCTTTCTCTGTTTTTCTCTGTCTCTCACTTTCTCACTGTCTCTGTCTCTCTCTGACTCTTTCTTTCTTTCTCTCTGTGTCTGTCTGTCTCTCTTTCTCTCTCTCTCCTCCCCTCTCCTACTCTCTCCTTCCCTGCCTGTCCTCTGCTTTCCAAGTTCTGGAATTAACAGTGTTACAAACCAGGAACTGTGATAATTTCTTATGCGGTTATTGGAAGTTAATTAAATAGGCGGGAAGGAAGAAAATCCTTGTTATAAATATTCAAGGCTCTCAAAGTCAAATCATTTTTCTGTTACTAAACTCTTTCTTGGAATAGATATTTGAAGTTATGCAAAAAGTCGTAGATCTTTAGGTGTTTGGGTGTCTATAGTATCTTCTAATATTCTGTGGAAGGCTGCAGCCTTTTCCCAATCCGTGAAGGAGGAAGATGTTTGGACGGTGGCAAGGAAAAGTTCCTACACAATGGAACAATATGTTAAAGCTATTTTTAACATTTTATTGTGCCATTGCTACTACATTGTTCTCACGTTACAGTGAAATTCTTCTTAGAACACAATTCAAGAGTAGTGGGGCACCCCGTGTTCAATCTAAAATATTTTTACCCTGAGGCTGGTGCTGGCTCTTTGTTAGGGCAAGTTCACCTGTAAGATGCTATTCTATGTGTTGACTGCCCCGGGTCAAGACCATCCTTTGAATCCTTTCCCAGAGGGCAACAAAATAATCAGAAATAATCATTAACTGAGGTAATATTTTTTGAACAACAATAAGGACAATGAACAAATTAGTTCCTTGTCTTGAACTGATACAAATAACATTCATGTTGAATGTTGAACAACAATGTTGCAAAGCGTAACTTGTATTAAAGACATTTTGTCATAAGAGATTTTAGCTGTATTAGTACTTCTGCTCTGGATAATGTTGGCCAAAATAATGAAATATAATGTCTATTAAAAGTGAGTAAATTATGCAGAGGAGCCAATAATGAAGATAAGGGAAGGCTGTGTACACACATACACACTCCAGATAGTATCGGGCTTCATAAAGGCGCGGGGGAAAGGATGATGGTTATAGTAGCTTAGTAAGAAATAATCAAGATGATTAACATTTCAGAAAATGCAGTCCGGGAAATAAAAGGCATCCTTAAAAATACATGTCTGCATTACTTTATAAACACACAATTGGAAAGAAAGATTAACACGTGATTCATACCAACACACAGCATAGTAAAATATTAAAGAAAGAGCAGAGCAATTTGTGTGGAATGGAAAAAGATATATTAATGGACTCAAACAGTTTCCAGCAGCCAGATAGCAACAAGTCCCATGCAGTACTGTGGGTTCCACTATGAACCCCTGCTTTTCAGTGTTTGAAGCAGACAGGTCAGGATTTTGGAGACTATGCTTGTGTTGCCTTCTTGATGACTCAGAATGATAGCATCAGAGGGCAGGACTGTTTTTTTTTTTTTAAATGGCTTCAAAATAGTGATTTGAAAAATAATTATTTGCAAGCTGGTTTTGGCTGGGTGTGGTAGCACACACCTGTAATCTCTGTACTTGGGGAGGAAGGGTCCTCTATAGGAGGATCCACAGACAGTGATCTACAGGCCAGTCTGGGCTGCACAGTAGGAGGTCTTGCTTGCATGCAGTGTTGAAGCAAACACTTGCCTTGCATGACTTGAGGTTAGAGATGGCTGTTATTTCCCATGAGTAGCTGCTACTTCTGCCTTAGTTTTATGTCATTCGGGACAGACAGGAACAAACCAACCACAGGGAAGAAACTGTAGAGATTGACTCTATGTGCTGCATACTTTCTGATAAAGTTGAATTTTCTAGTAGACGACTGCATTTTATCCTCTTTGCCTAGGTAGACCTGATACAAGAATTAGGACCATCAACCTCAAGGTCTACTGCATAGAAACCTTCAGCCAGTATCTAATTAAGCCCTTGCTGAGCATATGACTCAGGGATAGAATCCTGTGTAAAGATTAGCATGGTAGAAAAAATCAAATCAGCCTCAGAGGTGGGCAAGTTAAAAAAAAAAAAAAGATTTAGGATACAGAGGATGCTGGTCACCCATATTAGTGTTAGTGCAGGTACATAGCTCCTGGCTCAGAATCTTGAGGTTGTTGCAGAAGGAGACAGGTGTGAAGGAATCTTGGAAATCTGTGCTCTTCATAAGCTCTGCCTTTTCCCTGTGACATTGGTATACAACCAGCTCGAAGAAAGCCAATGGCTCAGCACTGGAAAGAATTGGGGAGGAATGGGAAGGACTGGGAATCACTGGGTCAGTACTGGGAAGTACTGGCAAGCACTCTATTAAGGGATGTACATTAGACAAGGCGTTAACTTGGGTTTAGAATGATTTATTACAACGTGATGAACTTCAGTCTCTGTACTGTGGAGAGTCATTGCTAAGTGATTCTCCCAGTGATCTGTAAGGCCCTGGGACTTTTATCTTCCATGACTTCCTGAGCCAAGCTCTAATGGAGGAGCAGAGACACTATGAAAGCAGTTAACTTCAAGAGACGGTGCAGTTGCGTATATACTCCATAGACACTCCTACTTAGGATTAATTATGCACTGAACTAGGAATTTATGTATGTGTATACAAATATTTATGTATATTTATCATCTGATGGCACTAATGATTAACAATTAGAAAGCCTCTGACTACACATTGGCTTTTACTATTTCAAAAAAACAAAAAAACAAAAAACAAAAAAAGCATGATATCTCCCAATGATATGAACACTGATCTGAGTTTCAAAAGCACACTGTAGTACCATTTCTGCATTGTGAAGCTCCCTCTGTGCTCTAATACGCCTCCTCACCAGAGGATAGACGTTTCTACCCCAACAGAATCTAATTTCTTGACCACTAACTTTAGTCATTATGTGTTCATATCGTGTATTGAACGTATATTCCAATATTTAGTAGTGTTTGATCACAGTGTCTGGGACAAAGAGAGACTTAAGAAACATTGTTTTGGAGCTGAGGAGATGGCTCCGTAGGTATGAAAACCGAGTTTGGATCTCCAGGGATCTCCGATAGGCACAACTCCGTTAGCACAAGGCTATCCACTGAGCTTATCCCAGCTCTCCTACCATGAGATGAGAGATGGAGATAGGAGGATTCAAAAAGGCTTGCTGGCTACCTGGGGCGGTGTGTGCAGGGGTGAACAACAACAGATATTTTCTCAAGTAAGGTAGAAGTCAAGGACCCAGACACAAGGTTGTACTCTGACCTTCTGACCTGTATACAGGTAAGAAGTGGCATTCACATGAGACTGTATGTACATATGGACACACACATACACACATATATACACATACAATATATATATATATGTATATGTATATACACACACATGTACACACATACAATATATATATGTATATGTATATACACACACACACATGTACACACATACCCACACATACATACATACATATATACACACACATGTATACATACATATATATACACACATACACATACCCACACATACACATATATACATATATACACATATACATACATATATACACACATATACACATTCACACATATACACATCCACACATATATACACATACACATATATACATACACATAGACATATACACACATCCACACATATATACACATATACACATACACATGTTTTGAAATTTGAGTAAATACTGGCAAAGAAGGGAAGGTTAATGACAAAGGCAGAGAAGTTGCTGACTTTGATGAGAATAATGAAATTTTCCACGGTTGGGTACCACTTGATGTGTTTCTGTTAGTATACGCATGTATCTCCCAGAGGAGATAGATTGGATCCCATGGCTCTCCCTGGGCTTCGAGAAGACGAGACAGTTAGCAGACTGACTTCCAGAACTGCTTCTGAAAGAATCCACTCACCTTGCTTCTGACAGAGGCTTTCATTGGCCAATCTCCCCTCCTTGTTGATATCTAATTTCATCCAGCTATCGAGGTAATTATTTCTCTTCCTGACCACTACCTTACGGTTTTGTTTCTTGAGAAAGAACAAGGTATTTTCCACCTCAAGGAAGCCTTCTTGAGCATGGCAGGTCCATCGGGGTGCCTGGGCACAGGGAGTGGTAACTGCTGGTTGGAAAGGGCCTCTTGAAGAGTTGGAGATGCCCAGGCACAATCCAGATTTAATGTGAAGGAACTTCCCATTCTCAATTGACAGCCACTGCTGGTTGCGGCTGGTAGCATTGCACGGGCCCATCATCACCTTCTGATTGATGGAGAGGCACTGCTGTTTGCGCACGTGGACTATCTGGAAGCCCTCTGGAAGATGAAAGACTTATGAAGTACAATGTAAGGGCCGTGAAATCGCAAAACTACCTGCCCATGTATCAGCCAAATTAAAAACACCAGGTTAATGTACACTTTGACACTTCTAGCATTGCAAGTGAATAGTCTCAGATCTAGCTCACGTGACTTAAAACCCCAAGGCAAACAGATAAGCAAATACCCTCACCCCCAAAACAACCCAAAACATCCCCCAAACTCAACCCATCAAGCAAGCAACCAGCCAACCAAAACCACTCTCCCAAACCGACCAATCAACCCATCCACAAAAACAATCAAAACCCAGAAACAATAGGCTATCTTCAGGCTGACAATGGAAAATGTCAAGACCTCATATGTAGCACGCCTCTGTGAAAGCTTTGCACACTCTAGTAGGAACATATTCCCTATTGTAAAAAATGAAAGGAATCTTGGAAAAGAAACAAAGTCACCCAAAGATTATGGCTTTTCACTGGATGAGGAAAACAAATACAGAGAGTATGTGTGCCTTATCAAAGTCATCAAAGTCAATTCAATATAAAGCTTGGTCCCCTTTAGCCATTTGGTTCTCCTCATATTTACCCCTGTTCCATTATGTAGAAGAGAGGTATATGTCCCTCTCAGTCACAGCTCACAGAGGAAGTAAATATTTGTTTACGAGTTGCATAGTTTAAGTAAACACTTTTAAAAATTGGACACATTTATTAAAAGATTAAAAAAATTATGAGGGGGTTTCCCACCTTTCCTACCACAAACTTGTGGCTGGTAGCAGACAAGGAAAATATTGATTACCAGAGGCTAAGTTCCTGATTACCAGAGACTAAGTTCCTGATTACCAGAGGCTAAGTTCCTGATTACCAGAGGCTAAGTTCCTGATTACCAGAGGCTAAGTTTCTGTAGTCCTGCAGAGAAGCATCAATTTTGTGACAATATCTATAGTTTTCCACCAAATACTAACACATTTAAAAAAAAGATATCACTACTCCTTAAAGACTAAATGCCCAGCTTTTAAACATTCACGATAAAAAGTAAAATATTCAGGCTCAGATAATCACTTTCAATTAGCTTTTAATCTAAGAAACCCAGCTTTCCCTTGGAAATATTGAATCCTTCCAAATGACAGCTTCCAAACAAAACACATCTCCCTGCTCCCTTTAATCATGTTCCTTATGTATATATTTTTCTTCAAATGAAAGTTAAGCTATAACTTGATTACAACAAGAAACAGAGTGCTTACATAGGCTGTTATGTGTAAATAATAAAAGATGTCTGCTCAGGGTTCCTCACTCTGAGACCCATCCTTTCAGGAGTTGAGCTGCCCCAGGCACTCGGTAAACACTTATTTTCTTCTAGAGAGACATCTCTAGTGTGGCCAGAGCTGTCTCCTTTCATCCACACCCCCCAGACCTCTTCTCATCGGCTTTGGCGCTCCTGCCATGGAGACCTGGTTCCTACTCTGACTTCTTTCAGATACTTTCCCAAAGGCTACCAGCCTCCTTGGCTAACTCTGAGAGAGATGTCCCAGGAAAACTGAGGGAGACCCACTCACCCAAGCTCCCGAGGATCAAGCAGGTTAGAACCGTCGTGTAAAATTCAGTCTCCATTTTCCACTTAACGATGGTTCATGCTTCGCTTTGGGGGAAAAAAAAATTCTCCCAGATAAGAGAAGCAAAGAGTAGGAAGGAAACGTGCTTCACGGAGAGGGGAAAAGTCAGTGACACACTTCCTCCAATTGAATTGTTTGGGGGACGTTTTACACCAGTGTCCTTTTGTCTGTTTCCTTAGAAAGGAGGGATTATGAGCATCTCTTTTTTAAAATGGAGAGCCAGCCTCCAGGAGCCAGAGTAAACCCCAGAAAGTCTTCCCCTGCCATCCCTTTGGCACACGATTATGTCTTAACCTCAAGATGGAGAAAGGGAATCCTACTGTTAGATAATTGAGTCTTCCTGCATCAGGGCTTCTTTTCAGGTGATACGATTCTGCCCTATCTACGTAAGCCATGTAATTGATGGGATCTGTGACAAGTGATATAAAGACATAAACATGTACTGTTTGTATAATGAGATGCTGGCGTCTATAAGGAAAACCACATAATGACCGCCCTCCGAGATGGTTATCTCTCAAGTGATTACAGGATCACAATTGGAGAGAGTCATCTCCCTCCAGGAGGAAAAAGACTAAAATTAAATCCGTCATACTACCTACTTCAGTTTACCGGGAGTAAGTAAAGAATACGCTTCACCCAGTGTTTACTGTTAAGAGTCATTTATTGGGAGTACGAAAGAAAGTCAACTTAGCTGCATTGAAAATTCATATCTGAGTAGAACATCTTATGTTTTCTGAGTGTGATTTTTTTTTTTTTTTGCCTTCATTTGTCTCTTGAGGAAGGAACTCTTTTAGAAATGTAAGGTCGTGCATGACTAGTGCCCTTAGAAAAACTTTTGGGGATGAAACAAGTTGGAGCACCCCCAAAGGCACCTGCTTCTTATTGGGAGAGAGATACCAGGTAGACACTGTATTCAAAAATCCCTTCTTAGTAAAAGAGAGACGAGTATTTAAAATTATTGATACTTTATAGTTACTATAAATTTGTTTATCCCCTTTTAAAGTCAAACAAATCACAATGTAGAAATACAGTAGTAGGTGTTGTGGAACAGGAGCCACTTCTATATCTAATAATAGGATATATATGTGTACATATACATATAATATACATATATATATCCAATGACAATCATTGTGCTCTGTAATTGATCCATAGGAGATACTATAAATACACACTTCATAGATATAATCAGACACATGTCCATATAAAATAGTCACTGCATTTGATTTTTTTTTTTCAAAAACAAAAAAAAAAACGTCTTGGTTAAAAATCCATTGTTGATCACTCGCAACTTGAGTAGCAAGATTCTGGTAACTGAGATAGGTAATAGCCACTTAAAACAGGAACAGGTGAACAGCTGACAGTCCAGTGCGCCAGACAGGCTTTATGAATATTAAAGCATCTAAACACGGGGTAATGGCATCTTCAGCCTCTCCTCCGGTCCTCAAGAGGACAGTCTCTGAATATCACACACGTAGATTCTGTGCGGTGGAGAGTCGACACAGACAAAACAAAGTCCTCCTCGGGCTGCGTGAAGACTGTCATACTTCTATCAGCACAGGACCTTCAGAGTAACCGGGGTGGGGGAGGGGGATGCCGTGAACGCAGTCCTATTCACAAAGGTTGGCAATCTTTTCATGCTGCCGTATCTTCCACAACCCGTGCCTCAGGCTGGCTTTAGAGCCTCGGCATCCATTGCAGGGAGCTCCGTGCGTGCGGGAGCTTTCAGTGGGTAATTGGATGAATCACCCGTGAGAGATTGACGCTCCGGTGAATCGTTGTCACTGGACAGTTTCGGGCGAAAGTCTGCTCTCGAACAGGCACAGAGCGTGGTGCACGAATTCATACTGCTCGCTGGTTTGGACCATACCACCCCTGCATGGAAGAGATCATAAAATCACTCAGTTTTGCTGATACCTTATAATACTCTAACCTAAACATAACGCTAGAACGAGAGTCTTATGCCAGACAGGCAGAATAGCTGATCTAATGATTTTTTTTTTTTCGAAACTCTTCTTACCAAACTGGCTGGCAAAGTTAACATGTCAGTGCAGTCCCATGCTGTGCACCAATGTCACAACATGGTGCATCACGCATAGGTTAGTGATAACATGACGCTGGTGTGAACACGCCTACCTGCTGACAGCTGTGATGACTGTACATTTCCTAGGCAGGATCATGCTAACTTTGTTGATAGCATTGGTATTCGCTATGCTTCTTAGTGTGACTTAGCATGTACTCCTACTTCAGTGTTAAGGGTTGACTGGACAACTGTATGCCGTGTTAGGCCAGCAGTTACTGCAGGCACCTCATAGCTATTGTACCTCTTGACGGCGCCATCTTCCCTTGTGCTTCCATTGTTCCATTGGCTCCTGGTGGCTTTGGGAGAAGCAGGAAGTGCTTACATATAGTGGTCATTTAGTTGTGTGGTAGGTCGTGCTCTCCAGGCTTTTACATATAGACTATATAATGTTCATACAACAACAAAGCTGCCTAATAATACATTTTCCAGAACATCGCTCCAAAAATCAACACTTGACTCTCTCTCTCTCTCTCTCTCTCTCTATCTATCTATATATATATATACACACACATACATATATATAGTCATATATGTATGTATATGTGTATACATGTATTTGTGTATATATGTATGTATAGATGTATATGTATACATACACACACATATATGGCTCAATATAATGCCATGTACTCTAGGCACCTGATTATTTAGTGTTTTGAGACAGGATCTCATATAGTTTAGGCCAGTATTGAACTCACAGTGGCAGAGGATGACCTTGAACCTTGATCCTCCTGCCTCCCGGAAGTGCTTTTTACCTACGTACTCTTAGCAGAGCAGTGATAGAACCTTATGGATGAGAACCTGGTCTCTGGCAAGGGTCAGACCACCCAGCTCAAATACTTCTTGTGCTCATTTTTAACTGTGTGACTTACACAAATTCCTTAAAGGCATTTGGTTTCATTCTCTGCCCTGTTCAAGCGAGATGATGGCTACGCTACAGTTAGGAGCATTAGGTCAACTCGGAGCAGCTGGAGTGGTAGTACTTGTTCCCTGGAGCCTTATCCATCCTGTTCAAATGCATTAGCCACTTGGGTTAAACATGATGGAAGCAGGTTAAGAAAACACAGCTGAGCTGCGTTCTCTCTCTCTTCCTACGAGTCTAAGTAAAGTGGGTTGTTTAAGGTTATTTGGGCATCAACCAGCCTTTGGATGTGCTGGGCATCTCAACACAATGGTGGGCGGGTTCGTCAGCTGGCTGGAAGCTGGAAATTGCCTCCTGCTTTTCTTCTTTGTTGGGGGTCATTGTCATCACCGATGGCTGTCCAGCATCCCCTGTGACACAGATCAGTGGGGGCAGCTGCCCGGGGTGGAAATTGCTCTTCATCCTACCTTCATATATACAATACTTCAATTGCATTTCCTCCTAGGGTGATGGTTCTTTCAGCTTGACAAAATTGTCAGACCCTGCTATCAAAGCTAATCAATGTTTTATCTCACGGAAGAAGAGTAGCATGATAGCAGTGATCTGAGTTCTTCTAATCTCTCCTCTAAACTGTTCGGTCACACAGTGAATCCTATTTTAGTTTCAATCTTTATTTTATCTAGTTGTTTTTTTTTCCCCCCCAATAGTGGTTGGTACTATTCAAAATAGTTTTCAGACCATGGAGGCGCTTCCAACTTAAAAGTGTGATGTGTCTCGGATGCTGTCACATGACTTCTGGTTAAGGATAACTGAAACTAGCCTTGTCTATAGGCTTCCTTAGCCTGCCACACAACTAAAGCAACAAGGTTACATCCTCTGAGCTCAACGGTGACTCCTCAGACAGGTTTGACACGGTGCCAAAACCATGTATTCATCAAGAAACAAAGAGGTTAACTTCGGTTTCCTGAGGTAGCAAGTTCTGTGAAGAAATATTACCACAGTCTTTCCAATGGGAACTGTACATTTTGTTTTCCAAACACTGGGCTGGTCAGAACGTGACACCAGAAATGGCAACTAAGGAGCCGAGCTCTTTTCCTAGTTGTGTGATGACGTCTGGGAAAGTTTTAAGAAAAAAAAAAAAAAACCAAAGCAGGTGTTGAGGAGATGCTCGGTCTAGACTGCAAAGCCTGGGAGCTGCAGCCACGGTAAATACCAGGGCAGCTGTAGGGCACGGAGAGGCACCTCCCTTCCTTTGACATTCCTGCAGAGAATGGATACTCCTACGTCAAGCTGTGGGCTGTAAGTGGGACCTCTGTGTGCACTGCCTCTCGTGGGCACTGACTGCTCTCGGAACATCCTCTTACCATTTACCTCACCTTGAGCCAAGAGAGCCCCTCTCCTGACTGTCCTGCTCAGCACTGGCATTTGTATATCCAGTGGGTGGGCCGCAGGAATCATAGTTGACGTCTTAGTAACCATTTCACCAGAAGTGGCTCAGCAGTATGTGACCATGACAGGGAACAAAGTCACTGTGACCAAGTTCCGTTGACTGTTGCAGACTCAGTTAACTAAGGCAAGGTCGGTGCAGTGGCCATTGGGGGGGGGGGAAGGGTGGGGACACACAGTACCTTCTGGCAACATTCTTGTGGATTTGAAAGCTTTTAGGGAGACCCAGGGAAAGTATTGTTATCTCCCATTTCTTTTGGAGAATAAGAACAAAAGGAGTAGCATCTGAGGAGTTCTCAAAGATCATTCGCTGGAATTATTGGCAAAAACTTGTTTCTCTCTAGCCTGGGTCAGCCAGCTTCTGGAATGCTCATGGGCAGAGATACCTTTAGAGAAGGCTTCTGAAGACATCAAAACAAATCTCTTTCTAATATTCTCACCCTATTGGCCAACTGGAATAGCCCCAGTAGGTCTCAAGATTCCCCTTGTAGTCACACAATAGTTCTTGAAATGATGAAAACAACCATCAAAGTCCCCATAATCTTTCTTCTCTAGACTAAACATCCTGTGGTTACTCAACACCTCTGTGAAGCCTGGTTTCCCTGTCACTCACCAATAGTCTCCTACTTCTGTGTGCTATTTTATGAAATAGGACCTTCCTACAGTGTGGTATCTGTCCCCGAGGGCATCTTGCCAGCAAGCATACTGGCTCCCTTAGCTATGTAGGGCATCAAGGTTACATCTGCAGGTATGTCAGGAGGTGAGGCCACAGGGCCCACCTGCACGTCCTCAGCAAGCATCTTAGGAACCCTTAGGTTAATTAAAAGTCAGCAGGATTGTATTTGAATTGAAAATTAGTTTTTTTTTCCTCCATCCTGTATTCAAGCTACTGAAAATTTGAAATTACACGCAGGAACTTTCATTTGTTCCTGTTAATTTCAATTTGTTAATTCTTTGTCTGAACACAATGTTCTTGTGTACTGAGTCACTATTTATAATATTCAATAAATGAATCCTCCATATCTCACTCCCAGGACTGAACCTTCTAGATTCTCAGCAAGCGAGTCTTACATCTTACCTATATCATTTATTAATATATATATATATATATATATATATATATATGTGTGTGTGTGTGTGTGTGTGTGTGTGTGTGTATTTGTGTGTGTGAGTGTGTTATAGGTTTTTAAGGTCTGGCATGTTGTTAGTTTTCAAACTTGCTACAGTGAAAATCGCTCAGTGTCTACACCAAATAGCCATTTAACTAGTCCTAGGTCAAATACATAACCTATCAAGTAAATAATCCAGGCTATGGCATTTCTATATTGTGTAAAAATAAATAAACCGTGGGCTAAAAGAAATGTTTCCCAGGATGCGTTCCTTAGATGTTGGTTCAGATTTAAGAACTCATCGCAATCGTCTTAGGAAATATTTAATAGTTACTTCACAGAAAATATTGGTAGATAGGAGATTCCATTGACCTTTGTCAGAACTTAAGAGCTACGGTTACCCTTCAGGGTTTATTCTAGGGAAAATACAATTTTCTTTTGTAAGCTGGTAATATGAAACAAAACACAGAACAAACCCAGGAAGCTAGTATAGTATACAAACGATGTCTGTGGAATAAGTGAGTGTAGCTGTACAGAGTGTAGATCTTCAAGAGAGTTTCATGATAATCTACCCTCCCCTCCCCACCCCCAACCCCACCCCCACCCTCACTCCCACCCTCCACCCCCGCAGGCAAGTTTATCAACAATTGATGCTAGGCACCTGTTCAATCAGACCGGGCTCCATGGGTTTGCTGAAACAGCCAGTTCCCAATGTGAACTGGTTCTAGAAGGCAAGGGCCAGGACCCCTCCTATTTATTACTTTGAAAACAGCCATCATCAAACAAAACCAAGCAAAACTTCAAAAGGCATCATCCGATTGCCCTTTAAAGAGAAGACACTAGAGAATCCATTACCTCCAGTAGGTCATAGCTTAAAGTCAACCAGAGTTTAAGTTTCAAAAGATTTCTACAGTGGTTCCCAGCCTTAGAAAATGAGGCTGTATTGACTCCCAAACTGTCATCCGTCAGAGAGAAGGGTGGAGCAGAACGCTGCTGCTTAACCAAGTCCACTACAGAACTGAAGAATTCTCTTCAGGCACAAATTCAGGGTTTACGAAGTACCATAGGTTAAGTCATAATTTGTGTCTACTATTAAGTAGGTATTAATCAAAAAAGTCAAGTCATCCAGGCCCACAGGTGGGTCGAGGGGAAGGATCAAGGCCAACCACAATACAGGTGACTCTCTTAAAAAGCAAAAAGAAAAGACAAGCAAATTGAAAATGGTAAGAGCTTCTTACCTCTGCCAGTGGTTGTGTGTTTGGAAAGGTCTGGAAAGCCATGACCCAGGCGACTGAAGTACGGTAAGAGGCCAAGACAAAGCAAGAGCAAACGCAGTACATACTGTCGTCAAAAGAAATCCTGTCTCCATTACTTA